ACAGAGAGATAGAGAAAGAGACAGAGAACGAGAGAAAGAAAGAGAAGGAGAGACAGAGAGGGAGAAAGAAAGAGAAAGAGAGAGGGAGAAAGAGAGAGACAGAGAGAGAGATAGACAGAGAGCGAGAGATAGAGAGACAGACAGACAGAGAGATAGAGAAAGAGACAGAGAACGAGAGAAAGAAAGAGAAAGAGAGACAGAGAGGGAGAAAGAAAGAGAAAGAGAGAGGGAGAAAGAGAGAGAGACAGAGAAAGAGAGAGAGAAAAAGGGACAGAGAGGGAGACAGAGACAGAGAGACAGAAAGAGAAAGACAGAAAGAGAGAGAGAGACAAAGAGAGAGAGAGTCAGAGAAAGAGAAAAAGAGATACAGAGAAAGAAAAAGACAGAGAAAGAGAGACAGAGAAATAGAGAGAGAGAAAGAGAGAGAGAAAGAGAGAGGGAGAAAGAGAGAGACAGAGAGAGAAAGAGAGAAGGAAGGGAGGAAGGAAGTAAAGGGCGAAAAAGAAAGAAAGAGGGATTGAGGGAACGGAGGGAGGTAAGGAAGAAAAATAGAGAAAAAGAAAAAGAAAGAAGAAAGAAGAAGGAAGGAAGGAAGGAAGGAAGGAAGGAAGGAAGGAAGGAAAGAAGAAAGAGCAAAAGAAAGTAAGAAGGCTGCCTGCTTTTCGGATGATAGCAAGGAACTACCCAACAACTTCCTTCCTTCCTTCCATCCATCCCTCCTTCCTTCTTTTCTTCTTTCCTTCCTTTGTTCCTTCCTTCCTTCCCTTCCTCTTTGTTTCTTTCTCTCTCTCTCTCTCCTTCCCTCCCTCCCTCCCTCCCTCCCTCTCCTCCCCCTCTCTCTATCACATCATCACGGGGATGCTGCAAAGACGGTCACTGTCGATAGCAGCCCTAAGTCCCTTTTTAAAACTTGGAAACGGTCCCTAAAGGAACAGGCGTCGTTAGTTGAGGACTCCTTGCCCAAAACGATTTCTCCCTTTTTTTTCTTTCAGGGTCCCTCATCTGAAATCTCTTTTAAAAAAAAAAAAAGCTTTTTATTTCATTTATGCAATCACCTCGTCTCTGCAGCATGTTTTACATCTTTTACACATCTATTGTGTTCCCTTTATCAATACCTCCGTGTCTTGTATAACTATATCCATATTTTACACATCTTATTTCGTACGTGCCGTATACATTTGATCCTCTCGTATTTCTTCTTTCGGGCTACAATCTCTCTTGGATTTCCCCCTCCTATCGATTCTGCGGTTTTCTATTTCTTTTGTAGTTTCTTCATCTTCCTTCTCCTCTTTTTTACTATCCTGTTTCCCCCCCCCCCTTCCCCTTTCTTTCCTCTAGCCCAGGGGTGAGCAAACTGCGGCTCTGGAGCTGCATGTGGGTCTTTTCATCCCTCTGCTGTGGCTCCCTGTCGTTCAAAATAACGACACCCACCGGAACGTAATTTATTGAGCTCTTTGACCCCGGGAGGCCAACCATGGATAAATCCAAGAATAGAAAAGTTTCAGAAGAAAACAGAACGTTTAATTCAACTATATATGCTAGTTTTGCGGCTGCTCAGGAAATAGGCATTTTTGGTGGCTCCCGGAGTTTTCTTNTCCTTCCTCTTCTCTTCTTCTATTTCTTCTTCCTCATCTCCTTTTCCTCTTTCTCCTCCTCCCCCTCTCCTTCTATTTCTTCTTCCTCCTCCTCTTCCTCTCCTCCTCCCTCATCTTCTTCTATTTCTTCTTTCTCCTCTCCTCCTCCTTCCTCTTCTATTTCTTCTTCCTCCTTTTCTCATCCTCCTCATTCATCCTCTTCCTTTCTTCTCTTCCCCTTGCCCCTCCTTCTTTTCTTCTCCATCCCCTTCCTCCTCTTCTTTTCCTTCCTTCTCTTTCTCCTCCTCCTCTCCTCTCCCCAACCCCCGCTCTCTTCCAGCACTGATGCTGCTCCCTAGTTGGGTCCCCAAAATATCTGCGAGAAAACCACCAAGTTCAGAGAGCACCAAGGACCCCATAATCCAACCATGAGCTGCAAAGATTCTCGCTAATATCATGTCTTTTAAGTCCTGGCAATTGCCAACCCTCTCCCCTTCCTTTGGGGCCTCAAACCTCGAATCATTTGGCCCCCCACATTTCAACCAGACCCTCCTTCACGGCGGAGAAATGGTAGCTAGGGCAAGAGCTTGCGGTTTCTCCCCTGAAGCTCCCCTTCTCTCTCCGTCTCAGTTTGACTTCGGCGCCTGGATGCCCAACGTGCCCCCTACCATGCGGAGACCCCCGCCCACCGTGAAGGGCTCTGCGTCGCTGGAGGGCATCCTGAACACCATTCCGCAGGTCAACATTACCTGCATCGCGCTCTCTTCCCTCTGGCTGCTGAGCAATGAAGCTGGCGACCGGGTAAGTGGGGGGTGGGGGATGGGGGGGAGCTGGATCCAGAGAAGGGAAACGATTGGGAGTTGACATCGGTTTCGAGATATCACTTTGGTGTTTGTGTGTACAGTGAGAGCTTTTGCCCCAGAGACAAATTCCTTGGGGGGGGGGGTCCAATTACAAGGGAGGGAGGGAGAGAGAGAGAGACAGACAGAGAGAGAAAAAAGAAAGAGAGAGAAAGAAAGACAGACAGAGAGAGAGAAATAGCAATAGCAATAGCAGTTAGACTTATA